ACGTCCCTTTTTTCAGTGCCTTCGGTCACTGAACAAGCTATTTGTAAGCTGAGGACTATCTTTGTTTGAGATGCCTTCCAGACTCTCTGGGTAGTATAAGAAATAGTATAGGCCTTCTGCGAGAGCAGGGGGTTGGACTAGAAGACCTCCAAGGTCCCCTTCCAACTCTGTTACTGTTACTCTCGAGAAATAGGGTCCTGACAATCTTTTAAGGTGATCAACTGTCCTCCTTTAGGGAGGACCGTCCTCCTTTTGTAAGTTCTGTCCTCCCTCGAAAAGTGTCCTCCTTTTCGATATTTGAAGATTAATCTGCAAATTAATCTGCATTCCGGCACTTTTTTTTAATGGGTTTTGTTTTCAACTTTTGCATGAGCTGTGCTACTCCCGCCACTGGCTTTCAAAAGCCAATAGGAATTGCTGCTGAGCGCGCCAAAACACCCGGCTGGCAAACTTTGCACATGCAAGTTGTCTGTATTTTGGTTGCAATGAATAAAATGTTTCTTTTATTTACGATATTTTTTTTCTTCCATTTATTTGTGTCCTCCTTTTCATTGTAAAAAAAGTTAAATCTTTGCAGTGTCCAAGAGAACTTCTCGATTTGTTTGACAAAATGGTAACGGGAAGACATCGTCCGAAGTTTCACTTCAGGGAGAATTCCACGGAATTGTGGAATTATCCCCTTAATTATGTCTAGGCCTGCTCTCTCGTCTTTGCCCAGCCTTTAGCTTCAGTTGAGAATCAGGAAAGGCCTCTCCAATGGAACGACGGCTTCTAATCCATTCGGAATCTCCCATGAGATACCCCAAAGGATCTATTCTCTCCCTGCCATAATTCTGGGGCAAAATTAAGGTCTATGTTCCTCATACAATACCTCAATTAGCTCAGGAACCCATTCTACCCAGCCCCTAAGGCAGTGTTTCTCAACCTTGACCATTTTAAGGCATGTGGACTTCAACTCCCAGAATTCCACAGCCAGCAATGCTGGCTGTGGAATTCTGGGAGTTGAAGTCCACATGCCTTAAAATGGTCAAGGTTGAGAAACACTGCTGTAAGGGAAATATCTGATTCCTTAAAACTGCAAGAATGCTTGGAAGAAAACCACGATCTGGGGTAGGGATCTGGGGTGGCCTGAAATGGGATCCTGGTTGAAAAAAAGAGAGAACTTGGTCTGTCTGCCAAATTCTAATTCAGGTTGGTCCCAATTCTGAGTGAAAAGGATTAAAAGTCGTGGGAAATGGCTTATATTCTAAGTTACATTCATTCATTTCTGGAAGAGCTTCTTAACGGTCTGAGGAGAGAAATAACGACGCCCGACGGAAAGATCTCCTAAGGATCCGCAGTAATTTCTACAGGCCACATCCAGGATCTCACTCCTTTACTGATTAATTTCTGTAATTCACACTCTAACTCCTTTTAAATCAAAGAGAGAAACCCATCAAGGAGAGAAGCAACCTGGAACTAAGGAGAAATTTCCTGACAGTCAGAACAATTAACCCGCGGAACCACCTGCCTCCAGAAGCGGTGAATGCTCCAACACTGGAAGTTTTTAAGAAGAGACTGGGCAGCCATTTGTCTGAAATGGTATGGGGTTTCCTGCCTGAGCAGGGGTTGGACTAGATGACCTCCAAGGTCCCTTCCAACTCTGTTACTATTACTATTATTATCAAAGAGCACTCAAAACGCCAATATAAAAGGGGAAAAAGAAACAAAAATCTATCTCAGATTGAGCTAGTGACTGTGTACATCAGGGCTGTCAAACTCGCAACATCATGTGACGCAACTTTTTTTTGCCATTGCACGTTTTCATTCGGATGCCTCCGGCCTGTTGGCTGGCAGTTTGACACCCCTGGCATAGATGCATCTATTTAGTTCCCCTTTTAACAAAAGGGAAGCTGTTTGGCATGCCCCTCTAGCAGGATCTCTCCTCTACCACCCTGTGATCTCCTAGTGGTCTCCTATCCCAGTAGTAACCAACTCTGCTTTGCTTTTCAAGTTTGGCTAAATGCTACTCGCACAAAACTGAACAGCAAAAGCCAGGGAGATCAAGAAAAACCAAAACAACAACAACAACAACAACCCATCATTAATCAAACCAGGAAAGGCTCCTTAACATGACGATCTTGCCTTCTTTGCAAAAAGTAGAAAATCGTGTTTTTGTAAGGGATATTTTTCTCCGGGGCTAAGAAAAACAGAAGCTGAAATGCAGGGTCAAAGAAGAGCTTGTAAAACACAGGTAAGACCTCAATTTACAACAACGGAGCCCAGAATTTTAGCTCTCAGCTAGTGAGGCTGTTAAGTCACCACAGGACCAGACTGAATTTTAAGACAATTTTTACAACGGTTCTTAAGAGAGTCACCATGACCGTTAAGTCCTAAGTCCAAAGAGCAACAGCACTTAAACTTCTATACCGCTTCAGAGAGCTTTACAGCCCTCTCTAAGTGGTTTACAGAGTCAGCATATCTGGGTCCTCATTTTACCAACCTCAGAAGGACAGATGGCTGAGTCAAACCTGAGCTGGTCAGGATTGAACTCTTGGCAGTCGGCAGAGTTAGCTTGCAAGACTGCATTCCAACTACTTCGCTACCAGGGCTCAAATCCAGTTTACCCAATGTGCACTACTGGAAAACGGGGTGTGTGTGTGTGTGTGTGTGTGTGTGATCACAAGACTACGCAATCAGTCGTAAATGTGAGCTTGTCGCCAAGCACCCAAAATGGGATCACGTGACCATGGAGAAACACCAAGTGTGTTAAGCACAGCGGAGAAGACACACTGATATCCTCCAGGTTAATATTTAACCAGGGGTTCTCAACCTTGGCAACTTTAAGACTTGTGGCCTTCAACTCCCAGAATTCTGGGAATTGAAGTCCACAAGTCTTAAAGTTGCCAAGGTTGAGAACCCCTGATTTAAACAGTCATTCGGGTATTTTAGACACCAGATGGGAGGGTGGCAATATTTTTCCCCCTTCCACGTTAAACGCTCAGTCCAGAATTTTATTCCACGACCAGCTTGATAAATTTAAATCCTTAAACACTCCCAATGGGCTGGCGATTTTCATTCGTGTTTCTTTCCCTTGGGAATTTTAAGACGCGGAGACTTCAATTCCCAGAACTCTCCCAAATGAATAAATAACCCTGGTGTTGCCATGCAACTGGTCCCCATTGATCAAACATAAATAAATAATGCTTATCTAAATGAAAAAAAATTACTTAAGGAACGTAGGATAAGTTGTAAAATGCCATCAGAGGGGATAGATAGACCGTCTTTTTTTACATTGACCAGATCGGGGTGGGGAATGATGGCCCTTTTATCATTTGTGAACTTCAACTCCCAGAATTCCTAAGCCAGGATGACTGTCTCAGGAATTCTGGGAGTTGAAGTCCACCAGCCATAAAGAGGGCCATAGTTCCCTCATGCTGGCTCAGGAATTCTGGGAATTGAAGTCCACCTGCCATAAAGGGGGCCATAGTTCCCTCATGCTGGCTCAGGAATTCTGGGAATTGAAGTCCACCAGCCATAAACGGGGCCATAGTTCCCTCATTCTGGCTCAGGAATTCTGGGAATTGAAGTCCACCAGCCATAAAGGGGGGCATAATTCCCTCATACTGGCTCAGGAATTCTGGGAATTGAAGTCCACAAGTCATCAAGGGGGCCATGGTTCTCCCATGCTGGCTCAGGAATTCTGGGAGTTGAAGTCCACGGGCCATAAAGGGGCCATCGTTCCCCACCTCTGGACTAGATATAACGGTAGGGAGCTGGTTCAAGATTCAGAAATGCGTTCGTGTGGGGGGAACACCCAGAGTTTTATACTGAGGTCAAAAAGCTAATACAGATAGTCTTCCACATATGACCACTGAGTCCAACATTTCTGCTGCTAAGCAAGACAGTTGTTAAGCAAGTTATGCCCCATTTACCACCTCATTCAGTGAATCACTGCAGTTGTTAAATTAATAACACAGTTGTTAAATGTCACAAAAGGGAACCACATCCCCCGGGGACATTGCATAAAGTACATGCCAGTTGCCTAGCCTCCAAATTTTGATCATGTGACCGTCAGGAATGCTGTGATGGTTGCAGTGGTGGGATTCAGCCGGTTCGCACCATTTCAGCAGAACCGGTAGATAATTTTTTGTTGCCTAGGCCCAGAACAGACTTCCGGAAGTGGCACGGCATCCATGCAGAGAACCCGTTGTTTGAATCCCATCACTGGATATAGATAGATAGATAGATAGATAGATAGATAGATAGATAGATAGATAGATAGATAGATAGATAGATAGATAGACAGATAGAGATGGATGGATATAGAGATATAGATAGATGGATAGATAGATGGATGGATGGATAGAGGGATAGATGTAGATGGATGGATGGATAGAGATAGATAGATAGAGATGGATGGATATAGATATAGATTGATGGATAGATAGATGGATGGATGGATAGAGGGATAGATGTAGATGGATGGATGGATGGATAGATAGATAGATAGATAGATACAATAGTGGGATTCAGCCGGTTCGCACCATTTCGGCAGAACCCGTAGCTAATTTTCATTGCCCAGGCCCAGAATGGACTTCCGGAAGTGCATCCACGCAGAGAACCGGTTGTTCACCTATCTGAATCCCACCACTGGATGGTTGGAAGTGTGAAAAAGAGTCCTAAGTCCTTTTTTTCAGCGCCGTTGTAGCTTCAAATGGTCACTAAACCCACGGTTGCGCCAAGGACTACCAGTATAGCCTCGGGATTTTTCACAGCAATTGGAACATGTGGAAGAGAACCGGACCGAAGTCTGTAGAGAATCGGGCTCTTCGCCCCAACCTCTTGGCAAGAACATTTTAATGGCAATAATACTTTTGGAGTGGTGTTTGGCCTGGGCTCCCTTCCTTCGGGATCCTTGCACGCTCTCTGCAATCTCACACCGCAGCGCACACTTTCTACCTCGTCAAAAACGAAACAGCAAGCTGTCTGTTCCTCTCTAAAGGCAGTCCTTTTCCCAATTCTTTTTTTTTGTTTTGTTTCGTTACCAAAAACCACTCAGGAGAAAGTCTTTTCAGCCCAAGGTAGGTTAAAAACCTCCATTTGAGCGCCCCTGTCGTGATTTGAGTCATGGGCTTTGCGCCTCTTTGCCCAAAGACAGATCACGTTTACCCAACGTTAAGATGATTTACCCGGATTTGGGAAGCACTGATCTAAGAATAGGTGCATGTATATAGACAGATATATACATGTATATTTATAGCATGAAAAAAAAAACACCCACAAGGGAAAATAATATTCAGTGCAAATGCAAATACCTCCCCCCAGCCAAAAATAAAATAAAAAAGGGGTGGGGGGAAAGAGAAAAAAATATCGCTTCTCAATGTCTAATCTGGAATGAGGTTTTGGGATGGGAGCACGGAGACAAATCTTTTAAGACAGGAGGAGAGCAAGAAAAGCAGGCGAGGGACGAGGAGAAAGGATCCTTTTGGCTTGACAAAAGCTGTCAGTTACCAGCATCTGGGGTGGGAGAGGTCTGTCTTTGTCCCCCCCCCCTCCCCAAGGACATCTGGCGTGGCCGGCCTCACGCCAGTTGGCCAACGCAAGCTGCTGCGAGGCTTCGGAGACCTTGCCCTTCCCTACAAGCCACTATTCAAACCGTCCGTGTTCCTCCGGAGCCCCGACAATAGCTTGGTGGGATGTCGCGCTGACGGGCCGCGCAAAAAGGGAGCCGGGAACAAAACCACAGCGGGGAGGAGAGGGAAGATGGGAGGATGAGGAGGCGGCGCTGCGGGACCGGACTGGAAAAAGACATGCTTTGCCCCGATGAACGTATTCTTAAAACATGCTGCGGGTTGTCCTTTTTCTTTTTTTTTTAAGGAAGTGGACCCGGATCCCGGTTGCTGGGAGGGCTCCTGCATCTTTTTGGGCCTATCCCGAGGGTGTCTTGTTTTTTTTGTGTCGTCTCTTTAAAGTGCATGTCTCGCTCCCGGCACCGGGCTGTGTCCGCCTGCTACCTTCTCCTTCCTTTCCTCAAGCTGTCAGTTTCTGGATTGTCTTGTTGTAATACTGCGTGATGGTGGGGGTGAGCGGGTTCCAGCTGTTGGCGTGCAGCTCGATCACCTCCAGGAGCAAGGAACGGGTCAGCGTGGACTCTGACGGACACAGCATTTTGTCCCGGGTGGCGGCCAGCAGCTCCGTCATCAGCTCGGGCAGCTGTTCTTCCAGCAGCCGGCCGGCACTTTGCAGCTGTTGAGGAAGAAAGAAAGGAGGTCAAAAGCTGGGGGAGCCGCGGCCTGACCCTCCCGGTCTTGGTCCTTCTTTCCAGGCTCCCCAACGATGGGAAGAACCGAGGCAGAGAAGATGGGGCTCCTTCCTTTTGCAAATGCTTGATTTAGTTATTGCTTCCAGGCACACCGTTAGGAAATAATTATGTTCTACACCAACCATGGCCACTTTAAGACCTGTGGACTTCAACTCCCAGATTTCCCCAGCCACCTTATTTAAAATAATTTCTATTTTCTATTCTATTCTATCCTATCCCATTCTATTCCATTCCATATTTTCTGTTCTATTCTATTCCATTCTGCATTCTATTCTATTCTATTCTATTCCATTCCATTCCAATTTTCTATTCTATTCCATTCTACATTCTATTCCATTCTGCATTTCATTCCAATTCAACTATTTCTATTATTTCTATTCTATTCTATCCTATTCCATTCCATATTTTCTGTTCTCTTCTCTTCTATTCCATTCCATATTTTCTATTCTATTCCATTCTGCATTCTATTCTATTCTATTCTATTCTATCCCATCCCATCCACAGGTGTTAAAGTGGCCACTCTGGGACACCCTTGCTGCACATGATCCACTATATTCTATTCTATTCTATTCTATTCTATTCTATTCTATTCTATTCTATTCTATTCTATTCTATTCTATTCTATTCTATTCTATTCTATTCCATCCACAGGTCTTAAAGTGGCCATGCTGGGACACCCTTGCTGCACAAGATCTACTAAAAAAAGAGAGTGGGAGAGAAACTCCACTGGATCACACACCATTCACATAAAACTGAAGACTCGCGGCCAAAAGCTAGCCGGTGATGTCAATAAATAAATCACAATCTATTCAGTTCTCCAGACTCTTCAACCTTCTTCCTTCCCACCACACCTCTTGCACCTCATCCTGTCCCTGGGCCCTGCTTGAGGTTTCTGCTTCCCTTGCTAACTCTTTCGCCTCCTGGTGCCTTGGGAATTCCTACCTATTTACTCAAACGCCATGAAAAAAAGCCGTCTATAAAACCAGCTCCTTTGCTGGCTCTTTTTAAAGCTCCAGTCAAAGCAAAAAGGGGAAAAAAACAACAGAACTCCATCTGTACAATTATCTGTACAAATATGAAAAAAATGTCTATATTTAATCCTTTAGATATTGAAAATAATAAGAATGATATTTGCTTAAGGTTGAAGGAGAATACAAATGGGAGAAGGGACGATCAAAGAAATGTATTGTTCATAGTATGTTTAGGTATGCGTCATGTATGTGTTTCACTTTGAAAGCGGGCAACTAAATTTCATTTTTGATGTGTGCCATATCTTATCTTATCTTAATTCATACACTAATTATGGAATTATCCAATTTAATCATTATTGACTATGAATTAATTATTATTGCCTTTTTTTCAAATACATAAGCCAAGATAACATGCTGTACATCAGACATGGGAGATTGTTATTGTTAAAAACCAATAAAATATATTTAAAAAGGGGGGGGGAACCCCTCCATCCCTCTGTAGATCAACAGAGGCAGGGCCTTTCAACCATTCCCCCCCCCGGGTCTCAAAAAAAGCAGTCCCCCCTCTTCCCATTTACAGAAGAGGCTGAGGAATTCTGGGAGTTGAAGTCCACAGGTCTTAAAGTTGCCACAGTTGGACACTCCTGGCCTACATTAATAGAGGGCTAGGAAACAGTGGCTGGCTGGGGGATTCTGGGAGTTGAAGTCCATAGGTCTTAAAGTGGCCACGGTTGAACACCCCTGCCTCTATGCCAGTGGTTCTCAACCTTTTTAATGCCGTGACCCCCAACCAGTCGTAAGTCAAGGACTACTCAACCGGTCGTAAGTCGAGGACTACTCAACTGGTGCAGCCCCGTTTGCAGAATGGGACTTTTGGCGGGCTCAGCAGAGCAGAGACAGCCTGGACAATTCCTATTGGCTTTGGAAAGCCAAAAGAATTAGACTCTATTCAAGAGAGTCTATTCTATTGGCTTTCAAAAGCCAATAGAATAAAAGGGAGTAGCACAGCTAAGGAAAAGGGGGGAAAAATGGCGGACTGCGTTGTTTGGTGACCCCCGTGAAATGGTCGTTCGACCCCAAATGGGGTCCCGACCCACAGGTTGAAAACCACTGCTCTATGCTTTACAAGACCCTGTAAACTTCCATTTCACAAACCAGAGGCAAATAATATAAAACGTTAGGATGCTTGAAAGGTGAGAAAGTCCCAAGAGAGGCACCGGAATGGATACCAGGTAAAGACAGGTGTGTAGAAAAAGGACTTTTCTGATGCTCTTGTTTTTTTTAACATTTTGCCAACGGCACATGTATGTGTGTGTCATGTATGTGTTTCGCTTTGAGAGCGGGCAACTAAATTGAATTTTTTGGGATGTGTGCCACTGGGCCCACAGTAAAAAAAAAAATGACAATAAAGGTTATCTTATCTTACACAGCTCTTGCGGTACAGCTCAGAAAAGAACAGAGGGGTGGGGTCTTCAAGGGCAACAAATGTGTGCCCTGAACTCTGCAGATTGAATGCTTTGGAGGGGTCGATGGAGGAAGGAGATGTGACAAAGCTTTGCAACTGTCCCTCTTCACTTTGGTCCAGCCAGATGTTGCCAGAGTGTTTGGTTCAACTCCCGTCCATGTTTATTAAGGGTCAAGCTCTCACATTACAATTTGGATAGTGAGACAGCAAACTTCCCAGGGATTTAGAATAAACAACACAATGTGGACTTGGCTCTTGGGGTTTTTTTAGAAGTGAGTTTTATAGGATGAAATCCCCTTCATGGACTTTTGAGAGTTTTTTTTCTCCAAGATCTGGCTGCAATACGCCAATGAAACGGAAAGGAAAGCAACTCTAGAAAACATCAAATAATGCAGAGATCCCATCTACATGATGTCAACAAATGAAGTCATGGCTTTTTCAGCTCCTTTTTCAGACAGGGGCGGTCCTTGACTTACGAACACAACTCAGCAGATTTCCATGGCTAGCTGAGGCATCCATTAAATGAGTTTTGCCCCACTTTACGTTCTTTCCAACCACCGTTTAGTTAGTAGCGCGGTTGTTAAGAGAATCCAGCTTCCCCATTGACTTTGCTTGTCGGAAGGCCGCAAAAGGGGATCACGTGACACACACACCCCCGGCACACTGCGACCGTCGTAAATACGAGTCAGTTGCCAAGCGTCCAAATTTTGATCACGTGACCATACAATGGATTTAAGTGTGAAAAACGGTCATAAATCGCTTTGTTTTCTGTGCCGTTATAACTCTGAATGGTCAACAAACAAATGGTTATAAGTCAAGGACTACCTCTTTTTTTATTTTTTAGCCACTGTTTGGCACGCAGTATCATAAAATGTCAACTAGTACTACTGAATACAAAAAAAGAACACTACAACTCAAGTGGCAGTAAATGCATTGTGATGGTAGAATGGACTTTTCCATACAGCACAAAAACCATAAATAAATATTATCATGGCTTTGCAAAGATTCTTCTGATATCAGTTTCCGGCTGAGTAAATTCTTGCTCTTATAATTTTGACATTCTCTAGGAAAAAAATAGCCCTCTTGACTGAGTGAAGAGGCGGCAGAAATAGGTTAGATAAACATTTCCAAATATCTACCTCCATTGAGCAGCAAAGAACAGCATCTTCTTTTATATCCTGAGATTGCAACAACTGCAGAGAGAGAGAGAGAGAAAAGGAGACAATGAAAGAAGACCCATTTAGAAATTCTTCTCCAGGAAAAAAAACAACAAACTCATGTGTGAAAAGAGAAGCAACCTGGAACTAAGGAGAAACTTCCTGACAGTGAGAACAATTAACCAGAAGCGGTGAATGCTCCAACACTGGAAGTTTTTAAGAAGAGACAGGACAGCCATTTGTCCAAACTGGCCTAGGATTTCCTGCCTGAGCAGGGGGTTGGACTAGATGACCTCCAAGGTCCCTTCCAACTTTACTACTACTACTACTACTACTATTATTATTATTATTATTATTATTATTATTATTATTAGAGTGAGATTTGCTGAGGTCAGAGCCAAAGCAGACTGCAAGGACCTATTTTATTTTGCATTCATTCTTTACGGATCCCCTTGTACAGGGCTCTTCAAACTCGGCCCTTTTAGGACTTGTGGACTTCAACTCCCAGAATTCCTCAGCCAGGCACAGGAATTCTGGGAGTTGAAGTCCACAAGTCCTAAAAGGGTCGAGTTTGAAGACCCCTGCCCTAAATTATGTATAAAATTGCACATGGGCCTCTTTTTTCTCCTTCATGCTGAAATCTGAAAGAAGTCACTTGAAAAGAAAACGGATTCAAAAGTTCTGAGTTCAAAACTGATTCAACTTTTGGCTTAGTAAAAAAGAGCATTCTGAAATCCAGGCAGAACGTAATAAAACAGCACTAAATGTGATGAAGAATCACTCAGAAGGCGGATAGCAGCACAGACCCCAAAGGTGCATCATGGCACGAGTGTCGTTGCACAAATTATGTCTTTCCCCTTTTTGGGGAAATGTTGCCACAATACACAGGACATTCTTGACTCCGATGCCCATACAAAGCAGATATTCTTAATCTGGTATTTCTCCAACTTGCTGCCCCCCATGTTGACTGGGAACTCCAGAGCAGCGGTTCTCAACCTGTGGGTCGGGACCCCATTTGGGGTCGAACGACCATTTCACGGGGGTCGCCAAACAACGCAGTCCACCATTTTTTTCCCCCTTTTCCTTAGCTGTGCTACTCCCTTTTATTCTATTGGCTTTCGAAAGCCAATAGAATAGACTCTCTTGAATAGAGTCTCATTCTATTGGCTTTCCAAAGCCAATAGGAATTGTCCAGGCTGTCTCTGCCCTGCTGAGCCCACCAAAAGTCCCATTCTGCAAACGGTGCGGCACCAGTTGAGTAGTCCTCGACTTACGACCGGTTGAGTAGTCCTCGACTTACGACCAGTTGGGGGTCGCGGCATTAAAAAGGTTGAGAACCACTGCTCTAGAGCTAAGTTTGGGCAAAAGCCCCGCGTCTTAAATGCAGGTCAACCAAACATATATTTCTGCACATAACTGTGATGCCCAAACCTGGGTCACAGAATAGGTTGACCCAACCAGTCTAGGGTGTGGTATAAATCTAAGGTAAGAATTGCACATACAATAAACTGGGAGGGTCCCAGCTTAAAACTTCCAGGAGGAAAGCAATGGAAAATGATTGCTTACTAAAAGCACGTGATCATGAAAAAGCAAAAGCTGAGATGGAAGGAGGAGCTACCTTAGCTTAGGACAGCGTGGAATTCTGGGAGTTGAAGTCCACAAGCCTTAAAATGGTCAAGGTTGAGAAACACTGGCTTAGAACCTATACAAGGAAGGAGGGAATAGGATTTCTCCACCTGCTGTGCCTGAACATGGATTCAAATCTGGAACTTCTGCTTCTGGTCCAGCACCTTCACCATGATCTACCCTGAAGAATTCTGGGAACTGTAGTCTCATTACATCTGAGGGGGTGGCTAGTTGGTGGCAACGTGGGTGAAAGTAGCATTCAAGCCATTTTCTGCAAGCAGCAGAAAAACATGACTCTGGAACCTTGTTGAGTAAATCCAGCCCTGGTCAAACAGACTTAATAATAATAATTATCAAGTTGGAAGGGACCTTGGCGGTCATCTAGGCCAGGGACAGGCCACCTTGGCTCTTTTAGGACTGGTGGACTTCAACTCCCAGAATTCCTGAGCCAGCCACGCTGAGGGGAAAGGGAGAGGTTTCCAAGCTGAGCCGTGCTGGCCCAGGAATTCTGGGAGTTGAAGTCCACCAGTCATGAGGGGGCCATAGTTCCTCCATGCTGGCTCAGGAATTCTGGGAGTTGAAGTCCACCAGTCATAAAAGGGCCAAGTTTGAAGATCCCTGGCTTAAATATTTAAATATTTTTCTTCACGGTCACATGATCAGAATTCAGGCATTTGGGCAGGGGTAGGCCACCTTGGCTCTTTTATGACTCGTGGACTTCAACTCCCAGAATTCCTGAGCCAGCCATGCTGAGGGGGAGAGGTTTCCAAGCTGAGCTATTGCTGGCTCAGGAATTCTGGGAGTTGAAGTCCACAAGTGATAAAAGAGTTAAGGTTGCCTACCCCTGATCTAGGCCAACCCCCTGCTCAGGCAGGAAACCCTACACCATGGATCTTCAAACTTGGACCTTTTATGACTTGTGGACTTCAACTCCCAGAATTCCTCAGAGTTGAAGTCCACAAGTCATAAAAGGGCCAAGTTTGAAAATCTGTGCTCTATACCATTTCAGACAAAGGGCTGTCCAGTCTCTTCTTAAAAACTTCCAGTGTTGGAGCCTTCACCGCTTCTGGAGGCAGGTGGTTCCACCGGTTAATTGTTCTCACTGTCAGGAAGTTTCTCCTTAGTTCTAGGTTGCTTCTCTCCTTGGTTAGTTTCCATCCGTTGCTTCTTGTCCTGCCTTCAGGGGCTTTGGAGAATAGCTTGACTCCCTCTTCTTTGGGGCAGCCCCTGAGATACTGGAAGGCTGCTATGCTGTCCCCCCTCGTCCTTCTCTTCATTAAACTAGATATACCCAATTCCAGCAACCGTTCTTTGTATGTTTTAGCCTCCAGTCCCCTAATTATCTTTGTTGTCCATCTAGACCAGGGGTCTTCAAACTTGGCCCTTTTATGACATATAGACTTCAACTCCCAGAATTCCTCAACCAGACCCCTGATCTAGATCATCTTTGTGGTCCATCTAGAAGTTGTGTTCAATGCACATCCTCCTTCACCGAGTTGTCAACATGGTTGCGTTCTCAGGCCATGCCTACAACTGAACACAAGTCCCCTGGCTTTCCAAGAAGGGAAGCCAAAACGAACGGAATTTTTTTAAAAACCCAGTGAAACCAAACAAACTAGACAAGGCTGAAATGAGTCAGGCAGAGGCTTCCCACGGCGACGTCGTTCTTAGACTGTCTGCCTTCAATAATAGCAAACTCGTGGGGGGGGGGAGAGAGAACGACACACAACAATTTTCCAGAGGATGTTTTTCGGCTGCTTCTTGTGAACGTTGCTGTGACACTGAGGGGAAGATTATTGGTAACAGAGATGGCTGAACAAAGGTCTCGTTGAAACCTCAAGGCAGGCTCTCTCTGGGCGGATGGTGGTGGAATGAGAGAGAAAGCAGTCTGAACAGAAGAGCAGTGTTGAAAGGGGCCTTGGAGGTCATCTAGTCCAACCCCCTGCTCAGGCAGGAAACCCTATACCATTTCAGACAAATGGCTGTCCAGTCTCTTCTTAAAAACTTCCAGTGTTGGAGCCTTCACCGCTTCTGGAGGCAGGTGGTTCCACCGGTTAATTGTTCTCACTGTCAGGAAGTTTCTCCTTAGTTCTAGGTTGCTTCTCTCCTTGGTTAGTTTCCATCCGTTGCTTCTTCTCCTGCCTTCAGGCGCCTTGGAGAATAGCTTGACTCCCTCTTCTTTGGGGCAGCCCCTGAGATACTGAAAGGCTGCTATCATATCACCCCTGGTCCTTCTTTTCATGAAGCTTGAGGTCTAGGAGATGAACCTTGGTTAGATATCTATGGAGGTTCTCATTCATCGGGGTCCTGGTTGTCCCAAAGGTGCTTTTTTTTCTGGAGGCAATTGGACTGTCTTGTGTTTCTTTTGAACATGCAAACGACTCTCTGTCTGCAAGGAGTATAAATCCTTCCACTCCCCACCATCCAGTCAGAGCTGAAGACGCTTCTTGGAGGAGAAGCAAAACGTCTTCAAAGCAAAAGAAGGAAGTCCAATTGCCTCCAGAAAAAAAAAGTATCCTTGGTTAGCTTCACCTGCTAGAGCCCATGGAGGGGTTGATGATTCTCTGGAATTTACACCTGCCTCCCCCACAGGGGTCCATCTAGAGCAGTGACAGTCATGGCTGAGAGTTTTCAGATGGAGTAAGTGTCCAGCAAAAACATTGTAAACTGAGGTCACGTGTCTATAAATGATATTATTGTCAGTTGCGAAGTTGTGTCCAACCCATCGCGACCCCATGGACCACGTTTCTCCAGGCCTTCCTGTCCTCTAGCATCTTCTGGAGTCCATTGAAGTTCATACCTACTGCTTCAGTGACTCCATCCAGCCATCTCATTCTCTGTCGTCCCCTTCTTCTATTGCCCTCAATCTTTCCCAGCATTAGGCCCTTTTCCAGTGAGTCCTTCCTTCTCGTTAGGTGGCCAAAGTATATTAATATTAATAATAATAATAATAAAGTTGGAAGGCACCTTGGAGGTCATCTAGTCCAACCCCCCGTTCAGGCAGGAAACCCTATACCATTTCAGACAAATGGCTGTCCAGTCCCTTCTTAAAAGCTTCCAGTGTTGGAGCACACACAACTTCTGGAGGCAAATTGTTCCACAGGTTAATTGTTCTGACTGTCAGGAAGTTTCTCCTTAGTTCCAGGTTGCTTCTCTCCTTGGTCAGTTTCCATCCGTTGCTTCTTGTCCTGCCTTCGGCTGCTTTGGAGAACAGCTTGACTGCCTCTTCTTTGGGGCAGCCCCTGAGATATTGGAAGACTGCTTTCCTGTCCCCCCTCGTCCTTCTCTTCATTAAACTAGACATGCCCAATTCCAGCAACCGTTCCTTATATGTTTTAGCCTCCAGTCCCCTGATCCTCTTTGTTACTCTTCTCTGTGTTCTAACAAATGTTGTTTCGTCACATTTATCAATACTGATCGGGCGCTCTAGGAATCCTGCCTCTTTTCAGGCCGTGGGGTCCCCAAATATCGTCTGAAGTGTCCCCCAATTTTATACATTCTCGATGGGGATCTTGTGAGGACCCCCAAAACACAGGCAAATTTGCCCCCCCTATTTTTGGGGGCCCAAAGCGCCCCGTAGGTCAGTGTTTCTCAACCTTGACCATTTTAAGGCATGTGGACTTCAACTCCCAGAATTCCACAGCCAGCAACGCTGGCTGTGGAATTCTGGGAGTTGAAGTCCACATGCCTTAAAATGGTCAAGGTTGAGAAACACTGCCGTAGGTAGGGATGGCTAGTAAGCAAGGCAGACCCGCCCCACCCCACCCCACCCCAACTCACCTCCCTGAGGCAGGTGTAAATGGGGCAGACAAGGACCCGAAAGGGCTCCCCCGTGCTGCTCCTCATGGTGGCAAAGACCTCGCAGAGGAAGGTGATGAAACCCAGCCAGGCTTCCACGTCGCTCTGCTGCAGCTTTTCTCGCATCGTGAAATCTTTCTGCAGGAAAGGAAAGAGGGCGGGAGGAAGTCAGGCAGCAGCCGCTGGGAACAGAGAAGACCCGCCCCCTCAAAAAACCCAAGTGGCCCTTTTCGGAATCCACCTTTTACCTAACGTCAAAACTTCAGCTGGTTGCATCCTATATATATAAATAAAATTTTTCGATTGCTAACAAAGAAATTAAGGGGGACTGGGATAGCTATTCCGAGCTGATTAGCTCTCATCAGCCAGACATACCCTTCTGAGATTCGAACCTGGGCTGCTTGCACATTAGGCAGCTGTGTTGACCTCTAAGCCACAGGCTCTTTCTCACTTTGTCAGCTGTGTCAGGGAGGGAAGAGTCAGGGGGAGGAGAATTACCTTTAGTGTTTTTTTTTAGTGCACCCTGGTCGGCCCAAATATGGAAGAAATCTTTTTTACACACACACACACACACACACACACACACATTCAAACTTTGAATATAAGGGGGAACCTGTGGCTCAAAAGGGTAATACAGCTGCCTAACATGCCAGCTGCCCAGGTTTGAATCCCTGAAGGGTGTGACTAGCTGATGAGGGCAAATGAGCCTGAAATAGCTATACTAGTCTCCCACTAACAATTTGCCAGCCACAAAATTTTGAATTTATAGTGTTCACAGTATGTGATGTCTGCCTGCAAAACATGCTCCTAGATTGGAGCGAAACGCAGAACAGACAGATTTATATTTGGTATATGTCTTTAATAACATTAAATCCCGGGTATACACATATTGTGGCAGTAATAAAAGTATCCGAACACCAGGATAAAAATCTTCAACCAAATGTAAATAACTGTAAATAATTGTAAGAGATATATGTATGACACAGTACTGTTAAAAAAAAAGAAAGAAAAGAAAGAAAAATGTATTTTGTTTTTGTAAAGTGAAAAAGGAAAAAAAAAATCTTCAACCAAAGCTGTTTTAATCTACAAAAAGTACTAAGCTTTGGTCGGCCAAACTACCGACATTGTCAGAGTGTAAAAACGCCGGATCTGGGAGTTAGTTTATATAACTGGCCACCTCTGCGCTTTGACGATGTCGGTAGTTTGGCCGACGAAAGCTTAGTACTTTTTGTAGATTAAACAGCTTTGGTTTAAGATTTTTATCCTGGTGTTCGGATACTTTTATCACTGCCATGATATATAATATATAAACAACTATTTACAATATTAAAACAAACTTAGCTTTCACTGATCCACTGTCAGCGTCTTTAGAGTGAAGTGTTGGGGGTGGGGAGTTCTCTTATAAGCCTTGTTAACTGAGTTTCTTACTCATTGACCGTGTGATAGGGCCAAGAAACTAGGTTAGCAAGGCTTATAAGAGAACTCCCCACCCCCAACACTTCACTCTGAAGACGCTGACAGTGGATCAGCGAAAGCTAAGTTTGTTTTCGTATTGTAAATAGTTGTTTTTATTGTTTTAAACTTTTTAGCAATGAACAGCTGATTTATATGCCTCCTGGAGTTTGAGGATTGTATATTATTGAACAGATATGCCCGGGAGAGTGAGAGAGAGCGAGAGAGATATGTAGAACCAGCAGAATAGGGATCAGGTTGGGCTGGAATCTGTCACTGCCTGATGATGCCCTTGGAAGACGCTTGGAAAGGGGCAACCTAACTTCTAGAGAGAAGTTCCTGCTGGTTTCTTGACAGCATGATGGATGGGGTACTATTAAATGTTTGGGCCACTTTAATCTACAATCCTGGGATTCCCGGGGGTCCCTCTCCAAGCTCTAACCGAGTCTACCTCTGCTTGGCTTTCAAGATCGCCCGCTGGACGTCCTCAAGAATACAGGAGAGCATTTCCTTTACATAAGCATCGTCTCCCATCCTTGACTTACAACTGTCCACTCAGAAACCATGGCAAGTTACAACGGCGTTTAAAAAAAAGCGATGTAGAGCCAGCCCTCACATTTACAGCCATCACACCCGTTCCCCACGGTTGCAGTGTCAAAATGTGGGGTTCTTGGCAACGGGCATGAATTTACAATGCTTGCAGCATCCCAGGGCCACGGGATCGCCTTTGGTGACCTTCTCAGCCGGTTTTTGACCAGCAAAATCAATGGGAGAACTTGGATTCACTTAATGAATGGAGGATTCAATTAACAGATGACACCAAGCTGGGGGGATTTGCTAACATTTTGGAAGACAGACATAAGATTCAGAAGAATCTCGACAGACTTCAGCATTCAGCCCTCGCCCCCCCCCCCAAATGCAATTCAGTGATGAGAAAAGCAAGGTCCTGCACTTAGGCTGGAAAAACAAAACGCACCGGTACAGAACAGGTGGTACCTGGTTCAAAGTATTGACAGTGAGATGGATCTGGGTGTCCTAGAAGACCCCCACTTAAATATGAGTCAGCTGCCAAAAGAAAGCCAATGCATCAACAGAGGGAGGGTCTCCAAGTCATGGGAAGCGATAGACATTTATACTGCATTTGGAATACTGCGTCCAGTTCTGGTCACCCTGATTCAAAAAAGACACTGAGAGTTGACACTCATGCGTCACCTTACCAAGGTTAGAATAGAATAGAAATACAGAATAGAATAGAATAGAATAGAATAGAAAAAAGAAAATATGGAATAGAATAAAATAGAATAGAATAGAAAAAAGAAAATATGGAATAGAGTAGAATAGAATAGAGAAAATATGGAATAGAATAGAATAGAATAGAAGCTGGAAGGGATCTTGGAGGTCCAAGTGACTGTCTAGTCTCTTCTTAGAAAGCTCCAGTGATGGAGCACCCACGATTTCTGGTGGCAAGCTGTTCCACTGGTCAATTGTCCTCACTGTTAGGAAGTTTCTCCTTAATTCCAGGTTGCTTCTCTCTTTGGTCAGTTTCCATCCGTTGTTTCTCATCCTTCCCTCTGGTGCTTTGGAGAATAGTTTGACCCCCCCTCTTCCTTGTGGAAGCCCCTCAGATACTGGAATGCTGCTATCCTGTCACCCCTATTTCTTCTTTTCTTTAGACTAGCCAAACCCCACAGCCGTTCTTTGTATATTTTAGCCTCCAGGCCTTGGATCATCTTAGTTGCTCTTCTCTGAATTTTTTCCAAACTCTCAACGTCTTTTTTGTGATATGGTGACCAAAATTGGCTGCAATATTCCAGGTGTGGCCTCACTAGGGCTTTATAAAGCAGTACTGATACTTTGCCTGATCTTGATTCTATGCCTCAAGAAACCCTGTTTTGTATGAATTAAAAAAAAAAAAAAGGCTTGCCTAAAGATCGATCACAGTGTGGAAGACCGCAGGATGCATTTTGATCCCCGATGTTTTGCAAGCTCTTCTAACCCATTTTTATAACCCAGCATTACAGGTTGGGAAACTTCAAAACCGCAGGATTGGAGATGGGCTCAACTAAAGCCGATCTGTCTGGACTTGCCGACGTGATTCACATCCAGGCTATGTTGGAAAGGCATCTTTCCCAACCCGGCTTGGGATGGGAAGCTGCTCCAAGCATTCCTAGCCAACCTCACGGAGTGCTTGGGAGAAGTACGACTCCACTTAACGGCTGCAACGGGGCCCCAAATCTCGGCGACAGTTCTCAAGTGAATTTTGCCCCACGTTACAAGCTTTCTGGCCACAGTGGTTTAAGTGAACCCACTGGGATTGTTAAGTTAGTCACACCGTTGTTAAGGGAATCCGGCTTCCCCCGTTGACTTTGCTTGTCAGCAGGTCACAAAAGGGGATCGTGTGACGCCCTGGGACAGCTGTGACCGTCGTAAATAGGAGTCAGTTGCCCAAGCATCTGAATTTTGATCACGTGACCCACGGGGAGGCTGCAAAGGTCACAAGTGTGAAAAAAGGTCCTAAGTCACTTTTTCAGTGCTGTTGTGACTTGGAGTGATCATTAAATGAATAGTTGTAAGTTAAGGTCTACCTGTATGCAAGAGAAGAAATTGGGAACTGGAATGTGGAAAGGGCTTCTATAAAACTTGATCAGGTTACATAAAATGATCCACACAGTAGAAAAGCCTTATAAAAGTTTTTGTGATCTAGTGAAGGGGAAAAAAATATTGGGCCAAACCCTCACAAGTATAGGTTGCTTGAACTGGGGGCTGGACTAGAAGACCTCCAAGGTCCCTTCCAGCTTCTATTCTATTCTATTCTATTCTATTCTATTCTATTCTATTCTATTCTATATTCCAATATCTATTCCATTCCATTCCATTCTATTCTATATTCCATTCCATTCTATATTCTATTCTATATTCTGTTCTATTCTATTCCATTCGATGTCCTATCCTATTCCATATTCTATTCTATTCTATTCTATTCCTTTATTCTATTCTATTCTACAATCTGTTTATTCTATTCTATTTTCTATTCTATTCTATTCTATTCTATTCTATTCTATTCTATTCTATTGCTTTATTCTATTCTATTTCGTATTCTATTCTATATTCCATTCCATTCTATATTCTATTCTATTCCATTCAATATCCTATCCTATTCTATTCCATATTCTACTCCACATTCTTCTATTCTATTCTATTCTATTCTATTCTATTCTATTCTATTCTATTCTATTCTATTCCATATTCTATTCTCTTCTATATTTCTATTCTATTCTATATTCCATTCCATTCTATATTCTATTCTATTCCATTAGATATCTTATTCTATTCCATATTCTATTCTGTTCTGTTCTACACTCTTTTCCATTCCATCCCATATTTTCCATTCCTTTCCATTCAATATATTCCATTCCATATTTTCTGTTCTACTCCACTCTACTCTACTCTACTCTACTCTATTCCATATTTTCCATTCCGTTCTATTTTGTTCTATTCTAGGTATTCCTATTTTTCTGGTGACTGATAACCGTTGAGATGGTCTTGTTTTTTGGGGAAGGGGGGGAGGAGACAGGATCATTCTGGGACTTTGCTTTGACAACCCCCACCTACCTGAATCCCTTCATAGACCAGACCACCAATTTAACACATCAAAAGCCATTTCCAAGGCTTTTAATGTTTTTGTT